TCCCTAATTACCTCCAAGGAACACCCTCATTAACTGACCCCAGAGCTGGGACAGAATTCAGCCTAATGAGGTGCCCTCGGAGCGTGTCCCAGTGCCTGGAGTGAGGGGTGGCTGCACCCAGGTGCTCCGCTGCCGTCGGTCCTCATGTGCTGCCCCTGCCCTCTGCTCCAGGCCCCTAAACTCCCTCGCTGTGCCCATGGCCAGGTCAGGATCCCAGCAGCGGGCACGAGCACCAGCCCTTTGGCAAGTTCCCAGGAGCCGCACTGCAGCAGCTCTCCCTCCTCCCACGCAGCCGAGCCGGGAGCCCGACGCGCAGCCACGCAGGCAGGACAGGGCGGGCAGGAGGAGGGTGGGAGATGCTGCAGGAGCACAGGGTGACCCCCAGCCATGGGCACCCTGCCCAGCTGGGACAGGCTGATCTGAGCTGGGGCCACTGCAAAGGGGACGAGTTGCCCTTGCCAGTGCTTCTGCCCCAGAGCACCCCACAGCCACGTCCAGACCTCAGCAGCGGGTGAAGCCCAGAGCCAGATCCCAGCTCTCTCCCAAAGTCACCATCCTCACGTGCGCTTTCTCCTTCACCCACAGCGGTGCTCAGGAGCAAGGCAGGTACCCCAGCCTCACTTCCCTTACCTCCGAGCATCCACACAGCACCCAGGAGGCTCCAGCTGCTGCATCCCCACAATTCATTAGTCACCAAAAACATTTATTGACTAATTAGGCACCCGCAATCTGTCTGCTTGGGCTGTGCCTGTGGCAGGATTAGGCAGGCTGCCAAGCGGCTACAAATGAGAGCTGCTAATTACCAGTAACTCCCCTGGCCTGGCCCTGCAGGCAGCCCAGCAGCACCAGTCCCTGCACAGGGATTCCTTTCCTGATGTAAGAGCTGCAGGGCAGTGGAAGAGCCCCAGAATTAAGGACTTGGTGCAAAGCCAGGGGTTGAGGCTGGATGGGGCCAGGTTTTGTGCCCCTTCTGCTATTTCTCCTGACCTGCACCTCCCTCCATCTCCCTTAGCTCCATCCCAGCCCTGCTCCTCAGCACTGAAAGGGCAGTGGGGGAGTGTTTAGCACTATCCTGGCCTGAGCTCGCTTCTTCCAGCCTAAAAACTGCTTGGTTTATTCCTGGACATCTCTCTCTGGTGAGGTTATTTCCAGAGTCACCCCTTATCAGAGGCCATCAATGCTTTGGTGCTCCTCCCCACCCCCAGCATTCACACTGAGCTCTGCCTCCCCCAAAAACCTGGCTCTTGGCACAAGTGTGCTGCTAGTTTTGGTGTCCCAGAGCTGAGTCCCTGGTGTAAGAGAGGGGACAGAGGCAGGACCTCTCCAATAGCACACAGGGAGAGCAGCCAGGCCAGCAAATGGTTTTGATTCCTGAGGATTTCTGACACCCCTAAAATAGGACAAGTTAACATGACACTCCTGAAGCAGCTCCTGGTGCAGCCAAGGAAAAATGCTGCTGCTCTCCCTGAGCACTAACACAGCAGAAGGGGTCACTGTACCACATCTTCTCTCAAGGGAGGCCAAGGGCCCTTTTCTCCTGGTGATGGGAGGATGCCATCTCCTGCTGCTCTTGACTTGGGAGAGAAGCAACAGAGCCATTTTGCAGACAGCAATTTGTACCTTCATGTGGGCTATAAATGATCATCTCGTATTCCCAGCTTTGTGGTCCCACATATCCTCCAGCACATAGCCTGGTAGATGGGATCTGAACTCTTGGGTTACCAGAGAGCTGAGAAAAAACACCCCAGGTCTAATGCAAATGCTCCTGCCCCCATGGATCTTCTGAGCAAGCCCAAGGGTGTCTCACCCTGCCTGCTCTGTCACTTCTCTCTCCAGGGCAGAAGTGTGAACTCTGGCTCTGTGGATGCGTCTTTACTTTGGCCGATGTCTTGTTAGGAGCTACCCTGCACCGCCTCAAGTTTCTGGGACTCTCTAAGAAATACTGGGAAGATGGCAGCAGACCCAACCTACAGTCCTTCTTCGACAGGATACAAAAACGCTTCGCCTTCAGGAAAGTTTTGGGAGACATACATACCACGCTGCTCTCCGCAGTGGTACCCAATGCCTTCAGGCTGGTCAAGCGGAAACCTCCCTCCTTCTTCGGAGCCTCCTTCCTGATGGGATCTCTGGGAGGAATGGGATATTTTGCTTATTGGTACTTAAAGAAAAAATATATCTAGTGCTGGCTGCTTGGTGTTTAGTTTGGTGTCTCTGTGCTGTGTGAAACTATGATGAAGCCTCGGTAACTGTAATGAAATTTGAAGCAAGGTAATGAATAATTATATTGTTTAATGTAACATTCCATAGTCTAGAAGTAGAAACGTATACTGCAAGGAAATAACAACAAAAATGCGTCAACTTGTAAATGCCTTTTTTAGGTTTAAGTATTCAACTCCAGCGAGAGGCTCAGGGGGTCACGGGCTCAGCTGTGCCCACTGGGAAGTGACGCTGGCACCGGCCATCTCCCGTGGGAGAGACAGGAACCCCGGGAAATTTCCCAACGCCCAAGTTCAATAATGGGACTCGGATACTCGGTCCTGTACGTTTGTGTTTCTAAATTGTTCACCAGCCACATTTCACACATGCAGGTAGTGGGGACTTTCTTCTTCTGGAAGGTGTTGTGTTGTCGTGCTCGGAGGCTTCCCTGGGAGCAGGGTGCGGTAGCTGGTCACACTCAAGGTGGATTTGCGTTCTTCAAGTATCCATTTTTAAAATTATTTTAATTAAAAGGAATATTTTTTATTGAGCTGCTCTTAGAATGTATCTACTTTCTACGTCTGGTTTTGGTGGGCTTTTTTTTAAAGAATTTAATGTCTGTCTTAAAACTGCCACACTTTTTTCCTGAGGTAAATCATTTTGACTTCCATCCCGAATTTTGGCACATGAAGGAGATTATTGTTTTAAGCCTTTTGGATCCGTCTCTTGAGTTTTCCTTCATGGATTTGCACCGACTGAGCATATCTGGACTCTGAAAAAGTATGACCATTTTCAGAACTTTTCACCACTTTCCTGAAGGCACTTTGGCTTTCTCTTCCATCGGGGACTCTGTCATATCCTCGCTGTGTGTTTTCTTAGAGACACTTTGCACAGAATCACATTGATGACTTTCTTGTGCCTTTTGCATGTAGGAAAGAATAACGGGCCTCACTGCTACTCATGCTTTGAAAACTGAGATCCTCAATAAACCATATGGGAGGAGTAATGGCTTCACATTCCTAAATGCGTTCAACATCCTTCTAGTCTTATCTCAAAGCACGTCCATGGGCAGAGGGACGTGCAAATGGTTTGTGCTTTTTCTCAGGTACTGCACTGGTATAAAACTTGCATGGAAACAGAATGTATTCCTCTTCCAAAGCACTCCTTTCTGTAAGCACTCAGCCCACTAGGACCTCCTCTGGCTGCTTTTCCAAGCGCTCTGGTGATCCCTACTGAGTCACGCTGCATCTCTAGGCTGGGGAACATATGCCAAGAGTGGCTGAAGCAATTCGAATTGCACTTGCCTCCGACTCAAAAATTAGCTTTATGTATTTGAAAGCAGCAGGAATTCCCAGGAACTTTGGTTCTTGATACAACCTGGCAGCCACGGAATTGTGAATATTTAGCAGGTTAGAAGGGATGAGCACATAATGATTAGACAGTGCAAAATGCACACATTTCTGCTGTGCTTGTCACAATTGCAGAGGCTGGTCTGACACTTTGGGAATACAATGGCTTGTGTAGCTGCAAAGGTGCTGTGTGTTACCCCACAGGGATTAGGGCCACACAAAATTGGTACATGAGAACCTCAATCCACCCCCTGCCTGTACAGCCCAGGGAAATTACAGACACACGCTCCCCCACATACAGTTATGGATTTGCTTCACGGTATCGATCTTCCTTTTGAAGAGGGAGACAAAAGGGTCCCCTGAGGTCATCCCTGTTGCTGAATCTGAAAGATCTAAGAACAAACCTGATGACCCATAATTCACCTGGTCCAGCAGCTGATACTAAACTCCCCAAAAGAATTTATAAAGATACACTGACATGAAACCCTTACCAGGATTTCATCCTTTTACCTTTGTCCGTTGTCGTACACACACATTCCCTGGTGATCTCCAAAAGCTGATGAAATGCACACACCAGGTGTAGAAAGGAATATTAATGGGAGTACAATGCCAGGAAACCCCACAAGAATGAGAGCAAATACTTGCTCAGTTCCCAGGATTCCAGACCAAGAATGAGGCAGAAGGAAGCTGCTCAGCAAGGCTGCTGCTGGCTATTTTGCTCCTCTTTTAAAAAAAAAACAAAACCAAAAACCAACCAACAAAAACCTACAGAATAAATTTAAAATAATGGAGCAAATCAGAACTCTAAACACTGGAGAAAACAGGCATTTGTTTTGTTTTGGAGCACACTGTTACAATGCCACTATTATAAGGAAATCTGACAGATACAGCAGCTGGAACAAGGCACAGATCAGTTTGGTCCAACACGTGAGAGCTGTCAGCAATGTTGCTTTGTGGGCTGCTGGGAAGCCACAGATGCTGCAGTGATGAGTTTTGTACAGGTTCTCAGCCAGGACTATTCACTAGCAAGCCTCTGTTTTGAACTAATTTTTTTTAAAAAAAAGTAAAAATCGGTGAAGACAGTGCCACTCCCTGCCACCGAGCCTTGTTTCCGTGCCGCAGTAAAGCAATCTGTGAGAGCGATAAAAGATAATTACGGTGACAGGAAGAGGCTGGATTGATGTTCAGGACCACACTGAAATGAAGCGGGAGATGAATGTCTCCACCCCGATCGATCCAGATTAGCGAGTTACTGTAAACAGCCCTGTGGTGATTACAGACTGTCATCATAAAAAGTTGCTTTTGCTCTAGCTGATCTGAGCCTCAGCAAACTTCTTCTGCTCCAGTTCCATTTAAAAGGGGAGACCACCACACTACGTGGCTTATCATAAGCCAGGCACTGGCCTCATGCTCGCTGCCCAAGGGGCTTTCTGTACACAGAAATAATGATAGCAAAAAAATTCTGTTTTCTCACTCATGGACTTTATGCTTTGCTCTCAGCAAGGTGTGAGGTAACAGCAGCACCCAAGGGGGAAGGCTGGAAGGTGAGGCTCCTCAGAGATACTATTTGGAGCAAATGTCTGCTCTTGGACACCTTACAATTCACTGCTGAGCAGTTCTGTAGTAACTGCTCACTGAAGCACTGGCTCAGCTGCACTAGACAGAGAGAATGGCTTGTGCTGTATCTTGCATCAAATACTCTGTGTACATGATCCAACCCCAGCCAGGGTCCTTCTTAGGATCTACCCTAAATGTACTTATTTACCCAAGCAAATTTTTATCCTTCAAAATCCCTGTGATTTACAGGCAAATGTGCTTTTAGGCACCTCAGAGTCTTAAAATCTATATCAGTGCTGCAATGTGGAACTTTTAATTATCAAAGGGAAGAAAATCAGGAGCTACTTGTCAAGTCCAAGCCCTTCCAAGTACCTCTGAGATGAAGCTGTGACACTGAGTGAGCTCCCAAGGAGCAGTCACTCTCTCCTCCTTCCCAAGCCTCCTGCTTAATAGGCTCCCAGTGGTCAGATTTGTTGAATTAGCTTCTGAAATCTTTTTACCCCTACGGGTTTTGCTCAGAAGACTCAATTATGAAAATTGAAAATGTACGTGTCAGTCTTGCAGCTGGCTGGCAGCCTTTTTTGCTTGTCAAGGGCTGGAGAAGACCTCTCCATGCAGAATAAAGGATTTAAAAACCCAGAGGACAGGGAACACATCACAGAGCTGGTCTGTCACAGGTTGCCAAAAAATTTGAGATCGAGGGCTGCCTAAGAATACCTAGTGACCATCTTGTGGCCCTCTTGGAAATAAATTACCAAGTCTTGTTCTTTTTCTGAATGAAAAAAACATCCTCACCACCCAACTGCAATTTCAGTATCCTGGCTAAGGAAGAAAGGGGATGCTGTAAGAGCTGCTCCTTCGAGCAAGGGGAAACTCTCTTTCTGCTGTGAAAATAAATGAAGGACTTCCCCACCTGAGAACAGCAAACAGAAAACATTAAAGCTTGTGAAAATACTTAACATGAGGCTGCGCTTTGTGGCATTCACTGCCATCACCAAGATCAAAGCCAAGCACCCAGACTGGATCCACAACGCAGGCAACAACAGCAACTAAAGCTCTCGGGTTCCTGAGAGATATATGGGATTAAAATAATATGGGATAATATGATAATAGTATTTTGAGAGGGCCAGGGATAAGACAAAATATGATAATATGGGATTAAAAACAACCAAAGAACCAGGAAACAATGTACAACCCAAGAGCCAGCTCCTGTAACTCCACAGCAACTGCAGTTACCTGTGGCACAGCGGAGGCAGGAGGGTGATTTCACATCTGTTCACGTTATCAGCAAAGCTGCTCTTACCACACGAGCCTGTAGAAAAGCTACTTCTGCCTTGGTGGGACAGAATAAAGTCCCCAACCCACGTTCAGCAGACTGGGCCCAGACAAAAGTTCAGACCCACAGGTATGAAACATCTGCCTAAGTATTTAGTGAACAGGGACGGATTTTGTAACCCTAAAGGATTTCCTAAAGCACGGCCTCATTGATAATCAGAGATGTTTCAGATCAAGCCATTTCTAATATTGAATCTAAGGTTTTAAGCAGCAGTGAAAACACACTGGAACTTGTATTCTCAGATAAAGTGCATTCACAAAAAACAAATTTCCCCTTTTTTCCCCTCATGCTGATTTCCAAATGTGCCCCAATGACATATTTACTATCATTGTCTTTCACTCTCCATTTTACATGCTTTCTCCTGAAGGATTAAACAGAGAGAAAACAGTCTGCTTTAAATGCCTCACAGTGAAAGAGAGAATACCACATATGCCATAAATAATTTAGATGCACAACTGTTTTGTCAGAACACAGATGTCTATGGCTGCAGCGAAGGCAAGCAGAGGCTGCAGACTGCAGTGACCTGCGTGCTGCAGCCCAAGGCTCTACCTGCAGACAGCAGGTGCCATTGCCAAGGCAGGTTATTTCTATTTCCATGCGACTTTGATGCTGAAGAGCATCGATGAGCAAAGTGTCAACCTCCACTCACTTCTTGAGAGCTCACAGTAGTTGGTTTTTTCCCTTGTTTTATCTCTCTCATCTGCACAAAGATCTACTTTCAGCTCTTTTTAACTTTTTTTTTTTCTTTTTTTTTTTTCTTTTTTTTTTTTTCCCCTCTCTACTGTCCTACCCCTTTCCTCTCTCCTGGGCTCCCCTGATTTCACTCTCCTGCTGCAGACAGGATACGTGACCATTTTCAGAGACATTTCTGTTATCAGGAGCCCACGGGTAGTGAAGCTTTGCATCAGTGGACACAGCACCTCCCATTTCCACCTTCTGAGAAAGGACAGCAAAGAACTGAAGGAAATAGTTAAGAGCTTTTTAGCAAGACTCTAACAGCACAGACCAGTGACAACTTAGAAAGCCTTTCTTTAAAAATAACACCGTCCAACCCCCTACAGCCGTTGCCTCCCGACTCAGCCCTTTCCTACCAGCACCACATCTCTCCTGTGACCTAAATCCTTTTTAGCTCCAGGAGAGTTATCCAAATAAAGCTACTTTGCAATCAGAACAGAGTGTAACCAGGTTTGAGGGTGCTTTATAATGCTGCAGGCACTTCTTGACATAGAACTAAGTCTCCTGCATAGTTAAGCGCTGTTTTGCACATGCTCTTTACATCACAAGGTCATGTCACTCCACCGAAAGCCTCCTGGAACACTCTCCTATTTTTGTTTAGCAAAAGCAATTCCTTTCTATTCCGTGCTCTTGGAGCCAACCACTACAGAACAGCAATAGGGAGGATTCTTGGCCATGAGGGTAAAAAAAAAATAAAAAAATTAAACCAAACTCACTCACCAGAAAACAAAATAAAACCAAAAACCATCCTGGCATCATTTTTCCTCTCTCAACTTCCAAATCATGACAATCAACAGGAAAAAAATAATAACAATAATAAAAAAAATCTTAAAACCCTTAAACCTCTATCACTCCTATTCTTCTAAAAACCAGAGCAGTCCGGTTGGGCTATGGCAAAGCTCGAGCACAGTGCTGGGAAAAGCTGTGATCCAGATTGTCTCTATCCCAAGCAGATACTAAACCCATGTCCACTTCCACCATCTGCAAAACAGAGGGCAGACCCTGAGTGCCACAGCACAATCCTGAGGA